TTCTAACAGGCGTGAGGTGGTATCTTAGTGTTATTTTGATTTGCATTTCCCTGATGATTAGTGATATTGAACATCTTTTCATGAAGCACAAATTTTTTTTAAAAGACACAAATTAAAGTGCCATAAATATCCTCCTCATTTTCCAAAACCACATTTCATGTCATAGCACAAGTTTCTGAGTAAAATGAGGGGACTTGCCGGCAGGCGTCACCCAGCATGCTGTCCTTTGTCCCCACGTGCTCCCAGATGAATACAGCGGGCGAGACCATCTCTCTCCAGATTTCTATGAAGAGTCCGAGACTGACCCTGGAGCTGAAGAGCTGCCAGCCCGGATCTTCGTGGCTCTTTTTGACTATGACCCGCTCACCATGTCCCCGAATCCAGATGCTGCAGAAGAGGAGCTTCCCTTTAAAGAAGGGCAGATCATCAAGGTGGGAGGGGCGAGGCCGGAGGGGGCTGCGGGCTGGGGCTGGGACCTGGGACCGTTCTCGCTAAGGGGCTGCGGATCCAGACAGGAGGGAAGAGAGAAGTCAGCCGACCTTCTCCAACAGACCTTCTCCAACAGTGAAAATACAGCCGGGGTGCAGTGGTGGGGGAGGCCTTTAGGACATTAGGAGCCGACCTCGTGAAAGCCCCGAGGCCGTCAGAGGAGCTGCTGGTGCAGTGATAGCCGTGGAGTCCGACCTCTGCCTTTAATGACCATTGTGTTCTCGGGGATATCAGCTCCCTAGTGAGCTTCATCAGTGACATGGGAGCAATACTCTCACCTTGTCTGCCTCGTAGGATTGTGTGTACATGTGCACACACACCTAAATACGTCCTGTAAACTATAGATTCTGTTAGGTCCCGTATTGTACAAAAATATACTACAGACTGTGAATTTAGAAAGAAGACTTTGACATGTCTAAGACCTAAATTTCAGGAAGGAAGGAAGGAAAGAAGGAAGGAAGGAAGGGAGGGAGGAAGAAGGAAAGAAGGGGCAAGGAAGGGAGCCCTCACCAGCCAGAGGCTGGGGGCACCATACCTTAGTTCCTTAACACATCTGCCTTCTGATCACTGGAGGAAGAGCAGCTGTGAGAGTCTGAAGTAGGAAAATGAGAAAAAGCGTGATGCTCAGGAGGAGAGGAGAAAGGGGGCCTTGAATCCTAAGCTTGCAAATTTCTGAACGGGCACTGAGAACTTGCATTTCCAAGTGGTTATAATATTTGTCCTATAAAACAGTTAGGGCCTATAAAGGATAGTGACGCTCACCCTGGAGAAGAGTACATTAAGAATCTCTGTTAGTCGAGATTTTTAACTTCTAGAACAGCCGGCACATTGCCCTGTCTTCTTAGGGAAGAACTCGTTTGCTATGGACAGAACACCTCTACGTGCTGTCTACGTAGCACTTCTGTGTGGGGCGGGGTATCACGTACCCCTTTACCTCGTGTGAGCTCAAACACACACACTCATCCAAACAAAGCCGCAGCCTCGCTTGCAGACCCTAAGTGATGGGAAGCCCAGCAGGTTGTCCAAACCTGGGGGAATAACTGGGCTGAGAGTTGTGGATTTATGGGGGCGGGCCACATGCACACATCTACAGGGCACAGGCAGGTGATTTATGGTATTCTTAAAGGATATTTTTGGCTGTAGATGACTCTACTGTAGTTGAACTGATGTATTTCTGCACAAACCAATCACAATGCTTTGACTTCTTCCCGTGGCTCTAGGTTTATGGTGATAAAGATGCTGATGGATTCTACCGTGGCGAAACCTGTGCCCGGCTTGGCCTTATTCCTTGTAACATGGTCTCTGAGATCCAAGCAGATGATGAGGAGATGATGGACCAGCTTCTTAGACAAGGCTTCCTCCCTCTGAACACGCCCGTGGAGAAAATAGGTAAGAGACGGCCCCCTGCTCACCCCTGAAACTGCTGGCGGGCTGTTCCTGCCTTCCCAGGTGTTTCACAGCACAGAACACTCAGCAGGTGGCAGTGCTGAGCAGGATCCAGTCTGCGCCATTTAACTATACCAAAGGAATCTGAGAAGTAACCATCGACTTCTCTTGGGCAAAACCCACTCTGCAAACCAGGATTGTGATAGTCCTGCACATAAATATTTATGAAAACACAGGTGATCTTCTGGTGGAAGATGAAGTACAGCCTTGCTTACTCAAGGTCTGTCCCATCCAGAAAATAAACAACTGCTTTCTGGTTGTTTTGGACTGTCTGTGTCCCCCCAAAATTCATGTGTTGAAACCTGATCCTCAAGGGAGTGGTGTTAGGAGATGGGGCCTTCGGGAGGTGATTAGGTCATGAGAGTGGAGCCTTTATGAATGGGATTCATGGTCTTATAAAAGAGACCACAGAGAGCTCCCTTGCCCCTTCTGTCACATGAGGACACAGAGAAGACACATCCAGGAACCAGGAGCAGGCTCCCACCAGACACTGAATCTGCCAACACCCTGATCTTGGACTTCCAGCCTCTAGAAGTGTGAGAAATCATTGTGTGTTGTTTACAAGCCCCCCGTCTGTGGTGCTCTGTTATAGCAGCCAGAACAGACTAAGACAGTGTTAATATACTTTGAACATTCCCTATCTATGATAAATCTCCAGGGATGATGGGGTAGTGTTGTGCTTTCCATTCTTTAGGTGGAGTTTGCTCATTCAAAAGACATAAAAGATTTTCACCCTTGAATTTGGGTAGATACTAAAGTCCCTCGTTTATCATGAACCAATCTGCAGGCTCCAGTGATCCAACAGCAACACTATTTTCAGTGAGTTTTAAGCAACATGACGTTTATGATCTTTCATTTTTCCCAAGTGCATGGAAAATCTCCTCGTTAAAAAGGCCTCTGCTTTTTCTAAATAGCTGTAGAAAGAAAGATCATCTTTATGTCATTCGTATTTAAGGTTTTAATACTCAAAACATTAGATTCACTTCTCAATCAGACTTGAAAGACAAAATTCAATGGTTCAAAGAATATGCGTCATTTTAAAGATAAACACAAAATCAAATAAAATGTTTCAACCTTGTTGGTATTCATGAACTCATTGTCTCAAGTTAAAATCCCATCTAATCCTCGAGGTTTCGTATGAGTATACGCCCCACGTTGAATCTATGAGACTGAAGGTCTCCGGGCCCCTTATGCCATCAACTCCCTTTCATGGTTGATCTCCCTTCCCGAAGTCAACCATGACCACTGCGAAGAGGGGACAGACCTAGGAAGCCAGAAGAGGGCTGCTAAGAAACAGCAGCTTGATTTACATTATCAATTAGACTAAACGTCTCTTTATTCTATTCTACTTTTCCAAACATGACTAGTTAAGGGAACCCAGCTGAGATATCTACTTGCCCATGTGTTCCTAGGAAATATCATTCTCAATGGTGAAAGACTGAAAACGTCCCCCTGAAGACTGGGAGGAAGGCGGTCATGTCTGACCTCCCCATTCCACGCCACATCCCGCCACAACTCCTGACCAGTGCCAGACCTTGAGAGAAAGGAATAAACGGAATACAGAATGGAGAGGAGAAATCAAACTTGTTCTACTCACAGATGACATGAAAATCTACTTTTAAAATCCCAAAGAATCTATTTAAAAAGTTCCCAGAATTAACAAGTGAGTTGAGCAAGGTCAATGTATACAAAACCAATTGTATTTCCACGTTAGCAATAAAAAATTTGAAATTTAAATTTAAAAAGTAATACTATTTACAACAACATGACAAAGATGGGAAATACTTAGGGTTAAATCTAACAAAATATTTGCAGGATCTGTATGCTGAAAACTACAAAATACTGATGAAAGAAATCAAAGAATTCCTAAATGGAATCAATAAGCTAAATCTAAAATTTGTATGAAAAGGCAAGGGAGCTAGAATCACCAAAACAATTTCTGAAAGAACAAACATGGTAGCCTCATGTAACCTGATTTTAAGAATTCCTGTAAAGGTGAACTAATCAAGACAAGGTGGTGGTGGAGAAAGGACAGACACACAGGTCAGCAGAACAGAACGGACTCCAGAAACAGACCCACACATAGACGGTCAAGTGATTGTCCACAAAGGTAAAAAGGCAGTTGAGTGGAGAAAGGACAGTCTTCTCAATAATAGGTGCTGGACATCCATATGCCAAAAATGGATCTCAAGCCAAACTCACCATGTTAAAAAATTAACTCAAAATTGAACTTTGTCCTAAATATAAAAATAAAGATTAGGGGCCGACCTAGTGGTGTAGTGGTTATGTTCTCGTGCTCTACTTTGGCAGCCCGGGGTTCACAGGTTTGGATCCCTAGCAGGGACCTACACCACTCATCAAGCCATGCTATGGCGGCATCCCACATACAAAAATGGAGGAAGACTGCCCAGATGTTAGCTCAGAGCTAATCTTCCTCAAGCAAAAAGAGGAGGAGTGGCAATGGATGTTAGCTCAGGGCCAATCTTCCTCATCAAAAAACCCCCCCCCAAAAACAAAGACTATAAAACTTTTAGAAGAAAACATAAGAGAAAACTTTGTGATGATCAGGCAAAGATTTCTTAAATATGACACTAAAAATGTGATACATAAAAGAAAAAACTTGATGTCAGACTTCATCAAAATTAAACATGAGCTTAGAAAGACACCACTGAGAGAATGAAAAGAGAAGCCACAGGCTGGCAGAAAATATCTGCAAGTAACTCAGTTGAAAGGGATTTGTATTTAGAATACACAAAGAACTTTCAAAACTCACAAGAAAACAACCAACCAGTAAAAACTTGGACAAAAGATTTGAAGAGATACTTCACCAAAGAAGATATATGGATGGCAAATAAGCCTACGGAAAGATGCTTCTTAACATTATCAGTGAAATACAAAGTAAAACCATGATGCGAAACCAATACACACCCACTAGAATGGCCACAGTGAAAAAGACTGGCCATACCAAGTGTGGGCAACGATGTGGAATGACTGAAACCCCCATCTGCTGCTGGTGGGAGTGTAGAATGGTTCAGCCACTTTGCAAAACAGTTGGGTGATTTCTTATAAAGTTAAACATACACTTACAACACAATCCAATTCCACTCCTATATCCTTACCCGAGAGAAATGGAAACTTACGCTTACACAAAAAACTGTACGTGAGTGTTTACAGTGGCTTCACTAATAATCATCAATAATTGGAAACAACTCAAATGTCTTTCGACTGGTAAATGGACAAAATAACTGTGGTGCATCCATACAATGCGATACTACCCGCCAATAAAAGGAGAACAAACTATTGACAGAAGCAATAATGTGACTGGATCTCAGACACATTGTCCAAATGAAAGTAGCCAGTCTCAAAAAGCTACATTCTGTGTGGTTCCATTTAAATGATATTCTGGAAAAGGTGAAAGTACTGGGACAGAGAACAGATCAGTGGTTGCCCTGGGCTGAGGTGACAACAAAGGAGCATGAAGGAATTTTGGGAATTAATGGAACAGTTCTATATCTTGATGGTTGTGGTGGTTATATGACCATATGAGTTTATCAAAACTTACAGAAATGTACACTAGAAAGTTTTTTGTAAAACGAAAGCAGGTGTTGCCATACTCATATCAGACAAAGTAGACTTCAAGATAAAACAGGTTAAGA